TCATCGATCAAAGCATGTTTGATAACTCGAATGTATACCTAATAGTCAAATATATGTATATACGAACTTTTTTTGGACTTTATTAAACCGTAGCATTTCATAAATACTTTTTAAGAAAATTAGACAATGAAATATCAATTGGCTAAATTATATTCATCGAACAGTAAGGGCAATTGGAAGTATTAATACACCCACAAGAGACCTGTTCAAATATGATTACGATCGAAGACGAAAACGATTCTTTGTTTGCTGCCGCTCTATACAATTTTATTTGAACAATTTTTCCAATAAGTCTTCATTTTTATTATTGCTTTAGTTTCTTGCTAAAATTATGTCAATAATCTAACATTATACTGAAATACTGAAATAATGTTTCTAAGTCAAAAACATAAGGTATTTTTACACTAATAAAAAGTTCGGTTATAATTTAACACTTCCAAAATATTTTTTAATTTTTAAATAGAATATACTTAAAACCCCAATTGGCCTAGTAAGGATAATGAACTTGACTTGATTCTTGAAAGTGGTTAATTTCTTTCTGCCTGAATACATATTATTATTTATTTTGCATAAAAAAGTTTTTACATTTTAAAAGTTGGAAATTTCTTTGCAAGCCCTACTTTTCAAATGACAGCTGACACGTCATTCGAGGTCATTGACGTTTCTATGCCATTAATCAAAGAAGAAGAAGAAGAAGACGTTTCTATTCTTATTTGAAAGCTTTCTGAAAAACTTGAATTTCTATATCTGATTAATTTCATTTCAGCTTTAGTGATCTTTGATTTCTTATGCTGTGATTTCACTTTTACATTTGGTAAATGTAAATAACTTTAACTCCGGCGTAATTCAAATCAAATAAATTTTAAACGATAGAGAAAAATCACTTATGAATTTATCAACAAGCAGAATTCGGAGGTCGCTTATAGTTTTCGAAAAAATAAATAATGAAATAGTGTGATTTTTACTATAGAAAATCGCCATTTTTTTGTTGTCAATATGTCAATTCAGCTCGTATTTCTTGGTGGTCATAAAAAAAAAAAACCTAACATCTAACCTAATCTATCCCAGTCGGATTCGCTCTGTGTCGGTTCTGTGATTCATTAAATTAAAAAAAATCGGAATATCGATACGTGTATGATGTCGCCCGCTTCCTATATTTATCATGTTGGCAGAACTGTGTATTGAGTTTTTGAAGTCAAACAAATAAAATGGTGGATTTCTTAGTACAAATAAAACCGTTTAAAAACTTTTAAGTTAAACGGTTTTATTTTATGTGCACTGAAAACTACAATATTGTATTGTCATCTAAATTAAATGTGTGTACCAAATTTCAGATCAATCTGACAACGGGAAGGTGCTTAAATTTCAATTTCTAATTTTGACCCAAATAAATAAAGAAATTCCGTACGGGTCGAGCTAAATAAAACCGTTTAAAAACAAATTTTAAATATTTTTTTCTCGAAAACTATAAGCGACCGCCGAATTCTGCTTGTTGATTAATTCATTAGAGATTTTTCTCTATCGTTTAAAATTTCTTTTAATTGAATTACGCCGGAGTTAAAGTTATTTACATTTACCTTACATTTTAGTGTTCTGTACCTTAAAAGGTAAAAAAATTAAACCTTGAGAGATCACTCTGATGTCTTTCTGGCTGTCCGTGTCACCACCGATTTTGTCAGGAACGGGTGATACTGAGGGCTATTTGTTTTTAGTTAAAAGAGTTCAAAAATATAAATATATTCAAAGAGTTTTATTTAAAAGTTACCTCAGAAAGCTAGACAACTAGTTTTTCAAGTTCAGGTTATTAACACTGTTATTTCTTTATCAATGTTAAAAACAAAAATTCCTAAATAATAAAAAGGAACAATTTTTGCTACTAAGTGGTATCCATAAAATGATATGTTATATAAATATTCCTTATCCAACTTTATTATTTCGTTTCAGTAAAGCATAACCTATTGCTGAAAGTAGTAGATAATATGATAACCTTTCTTTTTTAAAGTTATTTCTGCTACAAGCAAAAGCTTTCTGTATGATGAATTAGCTTCACTGGAAGGATACGTTTAAGTAAGAATGATGACGACTTATCATTTTTTTTCTTTTCATATTATTTTCTCTTTCATGCCGAAGCATTTGATGTTTCACTTAGATGCAAGCATAGATAAAAAATTGACAAATAAATACAAATTTAAATTGTTTATAGTGCTAATCTTTGCACTTAAGATTGAACATTAAAATATGTAGAAAAAGTGCGAAAAGATGGTCGCCGCTGTGGGAATCGAACCCACGTCTTCGGCATTCGCGGCCTGACGCTCTAGCCACTGAGCTAAACGGCTGATTACCACACCGACGAAAATCTTAACGCATTCTTCCACATTGTTTTCTTAGCATTTGAAGCAATGCTTGGCGCCATCTATTGTTATATCCTTTCCAGCATACAAACAACTTCGAATATCGTTTTACAACGATAATTCGAACGAGAGATGTCATATCCTTTCCAGCATACAAAAAATTTCGAATATCGTTTTACAACGATAATTCGAACGAGAGATGTCGCCATTGCTATTTTAGAAATTTAAATTGTTTATAGTGCTAATCTTTGCACTTAAGATTGAACATTAAAATATGTAGAAAAAGTGCGAAAAGATTGTCGCCGCTGTGGGAATCGAACCCACGTCTTCGGCATTCGCGGCCTGACGCTCTAGCCACTGAGCTAAACGGCTGATTGACACACCGACGAAAATCTTAACGCATTCTTCTACATTGTTTTCTTAGCATTTGAAGCAATGCTTGGCGCCATCTATTGTTATATCCTTTCCAGCATACAAACAATTTCGAATATCGTTTTACAACGATAATTCGAACGAGAGATGTCGCCATTGCTTTTTTAGAAACAACATTTAGTAAGGTGTCCAGATCCACCCATTCGTCATGGAAATCGATGTCACCGGGAAGCATGTTGCACGGAGCACGTACAGTGGAGGAATCGAGTGATAAAGTCCTATTGTGTGGAGTGATAAAGTCCCGATTTAGATTTAGAGTGGAAGCGAGAAATGTAATAGTCTCCCTGGAGACAGCGAGCAACTGAGACATATTCATGAAGTTTATTTCTAGAGTGGTTCTGGGCGCACTTTTATAAATGGCATCTAAGACGATTCATTACACCTAAAACATTCTGCGGCCTCATGATCTTCCCATTTTAAAGAGTATTGGTTCATATTTTACTATGATGCACGATAAGTCACTGTTACACATTCAGGATGACACTAGAATGGCACATACAGGAGAGTATTCAAATGTTCTGCCGCGGCCGGATCAATCGCTGGATTTTACGCGATTGAACACGTGTTGGGTTTGCCAGGGGAAGGTTCTGAAAGATCTGGACAAAAATACACTACTCAACATTTGAAAACCAAGAACCTATCGAAATTTCATTGGAAGCGATTACCAAAATTAATTATCAATAAGCTCATAGACTCGATAATAATGCTGTCAGGTTCTAAACAACCGCGTTGGTCATACTTTCAATAAAAACAAATTTTTATTCATGAATTTAGAAAAAAAAGCTTTTGCAAATCTTAGAAAACAAAATATTTCAATAATGTCTGTTTTTTTAAATTTAGATTCTTCACTCTCCATCAAAGAATAAGATTTATGATGCGTTTGCGAGTTTCGAATTTGGAAAAAAGACTACCTGCTGGTTATACCTGACGGTTATACATAATTGAAAGTTTTAAGCGACCCCTCTTACTTCAAGCAAGCCAACAATTTGCTTATTAATCATGACTTTATCAGTAGTTTCAATTAGTTATTAATGTGTTCGGTAGTAAAATCGAAACAATGTTAAGTGGCTCACTGGTTTGGTTAATTAAATTTAGAGCGGACTAATGCAAAGGCTGGTAGTAAAACTAAAAATTGCCACTTTCGAACAACTTACGATGTAGACGGCAAGAAGTTAACAAACAATAACGCTTATATAAAAGCACTCTTATTGATTATACTGAGCACTTTGCTTTGATTGCCACACTCCAAAATTTTCTTCTTAGCTAAATTAACAGAAAGTAACAGCCTGTTATGTTCCACTGCTGAGCAAAGGCATCCTCTGTACAGAGGGTATTTATTGTATTAGGGTATTATCTACTGGCGACTACACAGTGGATTGGCAGACTTAAGATATCGTCGAAATGTTTTTTTTTTTATTTTTTTTTATATTTATTATTACATTTATCTATTACTAATTCGAATATATTATTTAAGTTTGCTCACTATGTTTTACATGACCGCTGAGCCCATGATTAGACAGCACTTAAAATTAATTTAATTTAATTGGTGCTGGTACCGGGATTTGAACTCAGATTGCTCGAGTGACATAATAATGTTGAATTGAAATCGAACTCACGGACAGTGAGCTATTACGACTCTACCTTATTACCATAATTTAATACAACGTCTTCTCGAAATTATTTTACTATCAGTTCCACCAGAACGCCATTTTCGAAAATTAATGTCTGGTAATATAATAACATTGTATATTATTGTTGGCTTCGTTGCGAATTTCGCTTAATTTTGCAGATTAAATTCTATCGATTTCAACTCGGCTGAATCTCAAATTAGACTTGAGACGATCTTCTCAACTTCCCGGCGGTGCTGTAGAGAATAGCAGTCTACATGTTATCGAATTATTAGGGTTAGTGAAACTTTGGTTAGCGTCTGCGGTACTAACTTAATTAGGTAAAATCCAAACACTGTCGTTGTTCTGTAAACTGTTTGTGCTTTGTTTAGTTTTGATCTAATGGTTAATAGTATCTAATACATTAATTTGTAAAATTAAGAAAATAAATACTAAAATAAGACTTGTTAACAATTTTTATTTCATATGCGAGCTATTCATAGTTACTGCGGTGAGAGCTGTTTCTGCGCCCATCTTTATATAGATAGGTTTTTTATTTATTCTTTATAAAAATAAAAATGACTGTTTTTGCTGTCCGTTAAAATCTTCACTGCTTTAATTCTTGTGGCAAACTGAAAAGAAAATTTATGTTATTGAGTATTGACAAATAAAACAGAACGAAATGTAGAAAGAAATTTGTACAACTGCACCTACGAGTACAATACATTTAATGCTACGAATTTTAAGGTACTTTAAGCTACAAATACAATACATATCCCGGCTGTATATTTTACTCTTCAATCAAAGGTGTAAAAAACGAAGTGTGAGGTTTCAAAAACTACGCTACTTTTTACATTGAAATTCCAAAAAAAAAATACGTTGAAAATAACGTCTAGTGCTTCAGAAGTATTTTTTTGCTAAATATGCAATAGCACACAATGAGGGACAACGAGGGTTGTCCCTCATTGTGTGCCTTTTTTTTATTGGTGGACAACTTGTTGTGGGTAAATTTAAATGTCTTTATTAAATAAAGAAGCATTACACTTAATTATTGATAGTCAAAACACTTCAATATATATAATAATCTTTGAACAAATTTTTTAGTGATTCTTTGAGCCCAAGCTATTTCCTCGTATAGCTCTCTTTTGGAGGTTGAAGTATGATTGTAGGACGTATTTATATTGGCCGCATTTCTCCAAAGTAGAATGTCATAAGAAATTTTACTGTGGAAATAACTAAAATATACCAAACGAGTCGTATCTAAATCAAAACTACAGTGGATAGAGTATTGTTTTATATCATCATAGTGTAAGGAATTTCGTTTTTGCTTTAAAAACTAAAGAAGTATCATCAGCAAAAATACTATATCATGATTATTAGTAACAAGATAAGCCAGGTCATTGATATAGATGAGTAAGAGAAAAGGCCCAAGAATAGGTCCCTGTTGGCCCTCATATTTACCAGGGCCCCGTGAAAATTCATAACAATCACGAACTGTCTAAAATGTTAGCCAATTATTCAAGTATGTATTCCATGTTATTTTTTTTAGATGTTTAAGTAATAATTGTCAAGGTCTTACGGAAACAGTATACCTTGTATGCTGTCTAAAACTTAACGTCAGGTATTAAAGTTTGTAATAAACAATTGACTTACTTGGGCTGTATAAGATGAAACGGCATTTTTCTTACAGCTTCTTCTGCGATATCCAAGGGAAAAGCAAACTCTATCATGTTCTCGTTTAAGCAGTCATTATATGTGGAAGCTAGCTGGCATCTGTCTGACATTCCTTCTATACTGTCTAGACAGAGCCGAGATATACTGTTCAGCTTTCGCACAACCCTCGAGTTTTTGCCATTCACCAAGCTGGCAAGGTGAACTAACAAATCTCGATTTACCTGTGAAATAATAAAAAAAATTAAGTATGTACTACACATTTTAGTTCCAATTAACATTAATATGTAATGGTTAATCTTATATATTATAATTAGTTGGCAAACGGCAAGTTGGCAAATTAGTTGGTTTAACGGTGGTAGGGCCTCGCAGCAGCTTCGGCTGTTGCACGAATGGGCAGGCCCGTCCGGGTAAGTACCACGACGTCACAGAAGACCAGCGTAAAGTGGAAGTATGTCAAATACTTTCGCGTTTCGTCTGGTGAGTGAGGTAGCCGGAGCCCAATTTTCAAAAGGTTGTCAACGCATCTGTAACCCTCGGGTGTAGCAGATGTCCATGGGCGGCGGTATTCACTTACCATCAGGTGAACCGTCTGCTCGTTTGGCAACTTTTCACATAAAATAAAATAAATAAATAAAATAAAACAGCTACAAAAATATGAAACAGTTGCAGTTTACGAATATATTATATGTACCATTTATATCTTTATATATATATATATATATATATATATATATATATATATATATATATATATATATATATATATATATATATATATATATATATATATATATATAGAGCACATGCCTCGAGTGGGGTCGAGGCGCCATCTTGACTTAAGGGAGCGTTAGGTTTCTGGAGACACGTTTGAGAAAAAGTTTTCTGTGCGTTTGAGTTTGAGTGATAGCCAATATATTGCTCTTTGGTGATAGCGATTGATCGAGTTGGATCATTGAGAGTTTATTTGGTAGTTATAGTAAGATTGGTGCCCTGAATCCGCTGCTCGGTTTTAACTATCAGTTTTTCTTTCGACATTGTTGTGAAGTGACAAAACATTGTTTAATTTAAATTAAAATAAAACAAAACTGTAATCAATGTGTTTTGCAATATATATACGTATTTAATATATATATACAACTATTTTATTTATTATATTATTTTATTAAACAAAAATATATTTTTAAGAGATTTATTTTTGGTAATAATGGCCTAAAATATATGAAATTTTAGGTCATTACGATACATGTTATCCGAAAGAATACGATAACATTACAAGAAGCACATTGGTTTTAAATGAATTGAGACATCAATCAAGTTTCTGACTCGTTGCTTGTCACGTACGTACACCAGATGTTTCAGATAACTGTCAAGGATTAAAGAGAATTATAAAATCTAATATTGTCACATTTTGACATTTTGTAACAATTATATCTTTATATATGTATAATTCTTCTGTACATGTGTTGTCACTGAACTTCTAAGCGGCTGGACCGATTTGAATGATTTTTTTTAATGAATTCACCAAGTGTTGTAATTTGTAATTTGTTTTTTATTTTTTTTTAATGAATTCACCAATTGGTGTAATTTGATTGCAATTCTATAGAATAATATCCTTCTATATCTTCTGTCACATTTACTTACATAATTATGTCCAATAATGTAAAGCTTTCTTACAATAACAATGACTTGTTAACTATGAGGGGAAGGCACTGTAGTACAGTTGTGAACTATCACAGGCTACAGGGCTTCTAATGATTACATAGATATCACTTTTTTGTGACCAATAAACTCATTATAACACCGCGCATCGCGCATCAATAGTATTAAGCATAATTGTTTTTTACGGTGTATTGAACGCAAATTTATAACGATGGTTCAGGGAAATGTAAAACAAATGAAGAAATATTAATTAAAAATGTTAATTTACCTTGCCATGGTTTATGACATCGCTCTGCTCAAGCATGCAAGCAGCAAAACATTGTCCAGACCTAGTGATTGGCGGTGAGTTTGTGAAGTATGCACGAACGTCTTTGGGCGAGGCTCTCACTTTTATGACACAGGCCTGTGCCATGCGAACTAGTGCGTCCAAATGCCCTTGAACCTGTAAAAAACTTTTCGTTTATTGGTAATACCTGCTAGCGCTTAAGAGGCCTATAACTCGATTTTATTTGCAGTTATTATTACGGTAGCAATCAAATTATGCATGTATATACGTTCAAGGTAACGATAGAAGCAATTATAATTAATAAACTTTTCAACATTGCAATTTCTTGTGGGATTATTTCTCTTTTCTCTTTTTTCTCTTTTTTATAAACATTGCCCTCACTTTAGGATAACATTATCCTGTGTTGCAAGGACGTTTTACAAACATAAATTGCACGAGGACAAACACCCAGATGCGAAACAACTATCTGTGGGTCGCACAAATAGTTGTCCCGTGTGGGAATCGAACCCACGACCCCCGACGCCGAAGCCAATACCTTGGCAACTGCACCACGGAGTCATCTTGATTAATTATATTTTATTGCATGTAAAAACATGACCTAAGCGAACATTAATTTATATATTACAACACAGTATAAAACGAATTCCTCCTGCTGTCTGTCTGTCCCAATGTATACTTAGATCTTTAAAACTACGCAACGGATATTGATGCGGTTTTTTTACTAGATAAGAGTGATCCAGGAGGAAGTTTTATGCTAATAATACATTGCACCCGTGTGAAGCCGGGGCGGGTCGTTATATAATAAATAATTTACCTTAGGATCTGTGAAGTCCACCATAGTTCCAGAAAAGGTGTTTTGTCGCAGAGCCAGCGCGTAAGATGGTAATAAGCACCATATTATCTTTGTTAAGAACATTCTGAAACCACATTGAAATTAAAAATATTGTAATGCTAAATTTATTTACATATTGACATTTCATATGATAATAGAATTAATGAAAACGGTGTTATTTTTTTATTTGCACTATAATATTAGATATATTATAGTGCTAATATATAAGATGCCATAAATACGGAGCATTAGAGACAGTCTTAAAATTTGAATCAATCTTTATTATTATCAATTAAATTCTTATATGTTATTTGCTGAGTATACTTACATGAGAATATTGAGTGATGCCGATGCTAATATGAATATTCTCTACGTTTCCTTTACCCTATACAATATACACTATTTTTATGACATCAAAATGAGTTTTAATTAATTAGAATTGTTGTGTTAAATGGTTTCATGCAATTTCGTTCCTACACTACCGAGCGAAACACAACGATTGTAGACAAAGCAAAAAGGAATTAAAGTGTACGCAAAAAGCCACTGTTATACTATCGGCGGCTGTGCAGCCGGCAATTTCAATGCATTTTCTGCGAAACGCCTGCCTCAACTTCATTTATAAAAGGGAAATGTAGAAAAGTTTCATTCGGCTGCAAAACAATCCTTATTGTTAGGAGGTTTGTTCGTTGTTTTTTTCGGAGTCAAACAGATGTGCATTAAAGTCTCACGCTCAAGTTACTCTTTGAGAACGTATCGATGGTTTGATTTTTTCACTTAGTACAATGTTGGAAACAATAATTTAATTTTAATAACATTAACAAAAGACGATTTGTTTTATCAAAATAACTGTTTCAATATTTTTTGCAAACTATATTTAGTTTAATACTCCAAACTAGTTTCGTTTAACAGTCTTTAACTGTATGTTGATGATATACTGTTGAGAGTGATGACGTTAGTCGTAAAATGATCATCCCTTTGCTTGACGTTCTTACACCTGTCATAACGCACATCCTAAATTTTTCCATATCGACATCTTCCTTTCCCTCCTTTTGGAAAGATGTACAAGTGATTCCTTTACCCAAAAAAGCAAATCCTTCGAGTTTTTCCGAATATCGCCCTATTTCGATCCTTCCATTCCTCTCTAAAGTCCTTGAACGTGTTGTCCAAGAACAAATTCCTTTTGCACTAAAAGCAATATCCTTGATTAGCTTCAGTCTGGTTTTGGGTCTGGTCATAGTACGACTACGGCACTATTAAAAATCACTGACTACATTCGTCTCGGAATGGACAGACGTCTCGTCATAGTATTGGTCTTGCTGGATTTCAGCAACGCCTTCAATACTGTAGATCATGATATTCTGTTACGTTTACTGTGTTCTCGTAACATATCTCCAACTGCAATTTCCTGGTTTCGTAGGTACTTGTCTGGATGCCAGCAGAGTATTCTTTTTTTTATGGAGAAAAGGGGCAAACGAGCAGGAGGCACCTGATGGTAAGGGATTACCGCCGCCCATGAACACCTGTAACACCCGAGGGCTCACAAATGCGTTACCGGCCTTTTAAGAAAGAATATGCTCTCTTCTTGAAGGTTCCCAAGTCGTAACAGTTCGGAAAGACCGCCGCCGGCAGTTGGTTCCACAGAGTGGTTGTGCGGGGCAAGAAATGCCTTGAAAATCGCGCTGTTGTGGAACGTTGGCCATCGAGGTGGTGTGGATGAAATTTTTGATTCTGGCGCGATGTGCGATGGTGGAATTCAGCCGCCGAGATCAATCCAAACAATTCCTCGGAACGCTCCCCGTGATAAATGCGGTAGAAGATGAAATGATCCAACATTTCTACGCAAAGTCAAAGGATCTAGCCGATCGTAAAGACTTTAATCGTCGATAACCGCCCTACTTGAATGCGGTCAAATGGAAGAAGCTGGTAGGTAATAAGGGGCTTCCGCCCAGAGGGGCATACAATAAAGTATATCATTATTATTATTATTATACTGTGGAAGAAAATGCCCACGAGAAAGTTGTTGTTGTCAGTTGTGTTTATATTCTCACGAATTTATTCCAAAAAGCTATAGAGACTTCAAGTATACCGGACGCGTGGAGATTAAGCACCTCTCTATATAGGAAAGGATAGTTGGTAGGAGTGCAATAACTACCGTGCAATAAAATAATGTGTACATACGACGAAGGTCATGTACCTAACGAAAATTATCTAAAAATTTTATGCCCTGTGATTATAATAGCTTGAAATTGTAGGCATTGCAACTAACTTCATTATGTCGTTTTTGTCTGTCGGTGTGCGCGCGCATATTAAAAATTTTACTGTCGTAATTTTGTCCAAACGCGCCAAAAGAAGTATATCTTCAAAAAGCTCATAGCCGTCTGTCAATTATTGATTTTAGTTTCAATAGCAAATGGTTAAACCACACATGTGTGTTACCATATGTATGTGGTTTAATTATGTGATATTTTGAAAACTAATGAAACATAGGTAAGTTAATGGATTGTCAATATAATCGAACATAAAATCCCCCAAACAATAATACTTTTTCTGTTTTTTAGCTTATGTTCGTTAGCTAAAATGTTAGAGAAAGTAATGCTCGTACAGATCTTATCTAGGATATATATAGAGATATATTGCCTAGAAGTGCTTTTCTAGCAAGAGAATATTTGGTTTTTAATAAAATCTGTTCAATAAAAGGTCAACTTCGAGTTCTGCTGGGAACGATACAATAGCCTGAAAGAGAGAGAGAGAGAGATATAATTTGTGATTTCTTATCCGATTTTACAAAACTTAGACCTCTCTAAAGCGAATAATTATAGGGCAATCGTTCTTTCTTATTTGGAGCAAAAGCGTGTCTACAAAAACAAATCTAGTTTAAAGCATCGCAAGAAAATTTATAGTAAACATTTTTATAATTCGTCAATAAAAATATTTCAATTTCATAATTCGTAATACAGAAAACCAAAATAAGACTTTAGTATGGTGTTAGAGCTGTGATAGCTCAGTGTCCAGGCGCTCGCCTTTAATTAAATATACTCGAGCAACCTGAGTTCAATCCCCGGCGCCAGTATCAATGAAGTTGTTAATTTTAAGTGCTGACTTATCACGTGCTCAACGAAGAAGAAAAACATCGTGAGAAAACCTGATAATTTTCGAAATAGTAACAAAAAAATATTTCGAAGACATGTGAAGTCCGCTAATCCGCAGTAGGGCCGCGTGATGGACTATGCCCTGATACCCTCTGCAAGAGGAGGACCTTGCCCAACAGTGGGATATGTACAGGCTATTACTATCTCTGGTGTTTTAATAAGGTAAGTCCTGTGTGAAGTTAGGGCACTTGAAATTATTAAATTAACTACTGCTTTGTTTTCTTTTTCTCGGCCACATTTTGAAATTGTTAATATACTTTGTCACTAGATGGTCGTATGGACCGTGCGGTTTCGGCTTAAGAATAGGGCCACCCCGTTTCATCCCATGGGTGTAATAAAAGGTGACTAAGGGATTTAAGTTGTTGTGACGTACGCTACGATCTCACCCCGGAATACCGTATCTACTCACAGGATGAGTGAGGGGCTTCTCACAATCATGTCGGTGGACAAGTATAGTGCAAATTCCGTATTCTGATTCGGTAAGAAAGGCAAAAAATGTATTTCGGCTTGGCGGACTTAGCGAGTCATCAAAGCAAGGTGTGCCAAGGGCGCCGTAGAGGGTGTATAGTAACGTCAGCCAGTAATGATGTTTAATAGATCACGCATGTCCATTCGGAGCGGTATTTAGAAATTGTTTTGCTTTACATTATATGACAATATCACTACATAGTATAAAACAAAGTCGTCCCGCTGTCTGTCTATCCCTATGTATGCTTAGATCTTTTAAACTAGGCAACGGATCTTGATGCTGTTTTTTTTACTAGATAGAGTGATTCAATAGGAAGGTTTATATGTATAATACATGGCACGAGTGCCAAGCCGGGGCGGTTCGCTGGTTCATTATATAAGTGAATAGGACAGATGATGATATAGAACGTATGATACGCAAAGAGATAGCAGTCTTCTTCTTCTTTCTAGCATTTATCCCAACAATTGCCAGGGTCTGCTTTCCTGCTTAATTTCCTCCACTTTGCTTTGTTCTCATATCCTGCTTCACAACGTCCAGCCATCGTTTCGTTGGGCGGCCAGGAGGTCTAGCTCCCAGGACAGGCATATCAAGGCATATCCTTCCGACATATTTTTTCGACCGGCGTGCGACATTGCTATACCATCTCAAGCGCCACTCTTGGAGCTTATCCGCTACGGCACGGACGCTATGATACTGTCAATATAGGTCTCAAGGACGCCTTTGGATCGCAATGCCCACCAGATACACTGACGAGGTACACTGTCAAAGGCCTTCTGCAAATCCAGGTTTGCTAGATGTAGAGCTCTCCTTTTCTCCCTGTATGCCCCCATCAAAGTTTTGAGAGCAAAAATGGCATCCACGGTGCCTGAACCTCGTAAGACCCATATTGACACTCAGAGACACCACAGCCACGGCGAAGCCGAAGATCGATGATGCGCTCGAAGAGCTTCATGGTGTATCACATGATTTTGATCCCCCTATAACTACGGCAATCCTGAACACTTTTTTTTTTTTATGGGAATAGGTGGCAAACGAGCATGTGGGTCACCTGGTGATAAGCGATCACCGCAGCCCATGGACATTTGCAACATCGGTTGAGTTCCCTTCCCATTGTAAATAGGGGTTATAAAACTGAAACGCCACGGATTCAACATCTTTCCAGTATTCAAGATACGGTTGAAGGGTTCAGTAAGTACGTCCGTACCAAGAGAACCCAACGACCTCCATGCTTCGATCGGTATTTCCCAGGCATCACCGCATTCCGGTTAATCATGCGGCGGAGACAGTCCCGAACTTCGTTAGGTGAAGAAGAGAGGGCAGTCTAAAAAACTCTAATTACAACACAATAATTTACAATCCAATTGGTGTAACTTGAGTGCCTCAGTTTCGGTGCGTTAGTTTCATATCTATCTCGTATTTCTATATAATATCATTGTCGGCCCGACACATCGACCTCTCTTTTAGTCTTAGTCGTTCTTCGTTGCACTGAATGAAGGAGTGCGTGCGCCTGCAATTATATCCTGCGTATCTGACCGCTTCCTTATAATGGACTCTCGTAGAGCCTTCGCAATGGAAGTTTTTGGCAGAGGAGCGTCCGGAACGGCACGGATTTTTTTAGCGGCGAGTTCATGAGTTTGAGGATCCACGTAATCATTCCTTCACTGTGTAAGAGAGTTTGCAGGTCTTAGCTGCACAGTGAGGGCTTGGCTATGTAAGCAACTTCGGGGGGACCAGGGGAACTCGCCATGAGCAAAATCGGTTGTTGCAAGGATTGATGATTATGATAATGATCATTATCATAATCATCAAACCTTTATCACCTCCACACCTGAGAAACTCTAAAAAAGCCTAATATTTTTAATTCTGTAAAAAGTTTCGGGCTGTACAGAGTGGCAAAGAATCACACATACAAGTATAACACACGTACATATGAATGGTACGCTTGAAAAACATTACATTTTCCTTCGGCAGTCAGGTAAAAACGATTGGCCGTCTAAAATAATTTATTTACAATGGGTGACGAGATGGTCGGCGATTATTTCTCTTCTAAAGTAGAAATAACGCTGTTGGGATTGCGTTCCTACGAAACGCCAACACGTACAAGGTAAGTTCTCAGCGCGTGATAGCTTCTCCGTACGTGGTTTTTTTCTGTACGTGCCAACTTCTACCTACGTGGCACCGTGAAATGTGTTTTAGACAGTTGATATATTTGGCCTGTCTTGATCCATGTTATTGTAATCACAGCGGTGTAAACAAGAAACTGACAACAAGCTGAAGCAGGACTTATGATGGGGGTTTTTATGGGTCACGATAGTGAAGAAGAGACTGAGAACTTATGAAAGAGAATTTATCTAAAATAAATAAAAAAAAAACGAAATATCAATTTCAAATGGAAAAACGGAATTACTCGTAAATATTGATGATCGATATACAATAAATAATTAAACACAAATGATGTTTGTGCGTTAGCGTTTTCCATTTTCAGAAGACTTCGTAGCCTCTTAAAATTCCCGTAAATGTTCGAAATGGCTTTCCTAGGTCGTTTAAATGATCTAAACAATTTTATGTCTTGACAGCGTGAAATAAATGGATTAGTTATTTTAGTTCTATTGCAACTCTAACATCGATAAAAACTGATGTACACTTATTTCCGGTATGACACAAAGCATAGCCAAATGCAGTTTAAGCCAAAATAAACTGATCTAAGGTTGTGTTGTAAACGCCCCTTTCACTGTATAAACTGCATAATTGTTTTTCTGCACTTTCAAATATACAAGGAATTTCGTGTGCGAAGTATTAGAAGAAATAAGGAAACGACGAAACAAGGAAATAAAATAGGCAGGGTAAGATATCTCTTACACGTATCCGTGTACTTAACATAAGTTTATTTTAGATTTATTTCTAATTTTACCTATTGCTGTGCTATTATTTCCCATGAATTGTCGTTTTACGTGATAGTAATCAAATTGCCTCAATCTAAACATATCTATACCATAAGGCCTAAATTGTCATTGTTGCTGTTCACTGGCTGTAGCGCGTATCTAATTACCAGATCTCAGAGATGATGGTACTCACAAAATTCACAAATGGTAGCTATCCAGAATAATAATTGCACCAACACGGTGGCCACGGTTCCAAATTAAATTGACTTAGATAAACATAAAATAGAAATAACTGTGCCGTAAGAACGAAGTACATAAATAGTCTGATATAAATATGAAGTGGTCTCATGGGAAAATAGTATTGATGTTGCTGTTCACGATTTTCCTGGTGTCTTATTCATGCTGCCAAGAACCCGAAGCCACTACCGCTGCACCGACGACAAATCAAGAAGAAGAGGAAGAAGAAGAGCCCGTAAAGAAAAGCTGTTCCATATGGTGTTGGATTCAGAAAATTGTTATGTTTGTTATTTCACAATTGTTGAGCGGATAAAAATGACGTAGGATATATAAAACTACATTTTAAAGTTTCCACCTATGTATATTATACTCCATCATTGATCAGGTAAACAAGTGGAAAACCTTTTAAATGATACTAGTTCTTGATAAAAAAAAGTTAAATGCATTAACGCTTTGAGAATCTCATTTAATATTAACACTTCATTTCTGAGAATAAATTTTAAACAGACTCTCCGATTTTTTTTGTTTTGTCTACCATGATAAGGTGTTCTTAAATATATTCAAAATAAATATTTAATTCAGGATTTTGACTCTGTTTCTATATATTAGTATATAATTATTCTAATCCCCTACTGTGGTAGGGCCACGCAATGGTGTTCACGGTTGGACGAATGGGCAGGTCCGTCCGGGTAAGTACCACGACCATTGGCGTATCAAGGGTTATTTTTCAAGGTTAGGGCCTGAGCCTAACTTAAAAAAGTAACCTTACTTAAAAAAAAAATCGAACGCTATGCGTCGCATTAAAAAAGTAACAGTTCGTTATCATTAATTATTTTTATATTATGTATTCACAAGTAAATGTATTGTAAAATAGTATATAATAAAAAAATACATCGATTTCTCGGCTGTAAATAATTATTCCATTTCAATGATTTTTTATGAAGTTTCTTAGGTATCCAAGAATTTCGAATCAGTAACCCAAAATCCTGGGGTGGGCACTAAAGGATACTCTGGTGGGCATGGCCCACCCGGCCCCTTGCTATATACGCCTATGACCTCACAGAAGACCGGTGTAAAGTAATTTACACCTGAAAAATTAATATCAGGTGAATCGTCAGCCCGTTTGCCACTTTGTCACATAAAAAAAATGTATTATTTTTTATAAAGGAATTTTTCGTCAAATAAAGTAAATAAAATTTGGGTATAATTGACAGAACACCAAGGCATAACACAAAAGCATTTCAATGTATTACTTATTGCATAACCTCGATGTAAGTAATAAACGTTTTTCAAACTGTGTAAAGGTTTTCGAAAAGTTCGTAATTTGTTTATCGAAAAATGGATTTCGGGGAAATTGGGTTAAGTAATGAAATAATGGAATGTTGTTGAAAAGTTAAAGCTAAGTACATAAATGGGTTTGTGTATATAAATATTTGAAAATATTAGAATAGCGTTTGTTGTAAGCAAAAAGACAATATTCCAAGTAACGTAAATACTCTGGTCGAAATAAGCGAAATAGTTTTGTTGTTATTGTCAACTTAGAATGAATAAAGAAATACTTAAAAATGTATGAATAAGTTAAAAGGGAAATGGGTTTCCAACAATCAAATAAAAGGTCAAATCAATTTGTGCGCTAAATATGACATATATTGAACTTCTAGTCCTTAATTATAAATTTCTACTCCCTAATACCATAGTATTACTTGTACTAATTAATTAGAAAATTCATAATGTTAAGTATACACTATATTATAATTTTGTATAGATGTGTACAGTCGTTAAATACTTTGGCTTTCTTGCAAACGTCTTGCTTATGTTGGATGGCGTCGGCATTTTCTGCACACGAGCTGCCATTATCGCTCATGACCTTTGTTTGGTCAAGTTGATGTGCTATTTGCACCCTTTTCCTAAAATCATATAAAATATTTGAAATGATACAATTAATTACCATATATACAAAAAAGATATTGTTTACAATTGCTATGGACTACGGGGAAAGTTTAGTTTATATTTGCATTAATAAAATTCGAACAACAATTGGATTTAAAGGTCTATTATTACATGGACGCAAAGTTTATAGGTATTTATACTCGCATTTGCGTGAATGATTTACTATTTAATAAAATTCCTAATTTCATAACGAAAGCGACTTAATACTAGTCAAAAATATCAAATTAAAATACGAATATTAAAAGCATACGAATATTATAAGCTTACCGATAAATTTCTAAATTTATCGCGCCATTAGAATACATAATTCCTAGTTTTCTGAGCACACAATATATTATGCATGCCTCGTCAGACTCCTGAAAGTCCACCCTTTTCCCCTTGGGATACATTTCGTTAAGGCATTGGTCGGCGACTGCGTCTGATGTTTTGTCGTGTGCGTACATAACTGACACGCGAGCGTTCGCGTTTGAAACCGCCAACATGAAGAGGGCAATGAGAATCTTTGCTGAAAAGAAACAATTGCACTTATATAACAACTGTGACAGTTGTGTGTTTGTTCGGAAACAAATGTAAACAAAGGGACTTGGAAGTAAAATATCTCATACGCTTGAATCACATATAATTTACCCTTTAACGGGTTATAAGTAATTTCCTTGCAAAGGTTGGAGACGCAATCATATAGACGAATTGTCAGTAAAAACTAGTAATAAATAACAAAGTCATTTATCAGCTTAATACTTTCTATCCGATGCGGCTTTGTTCCTGAGTTTTCTCCAGTATGCGAAATATACTTAAACTTTGTTGAGTTAGGAAACTTTTAGAATTAAGCAATGTTTAATAGCTCGAAGTCGGTCAGGAAGGAAATGAACCGGAAGAAATCGATTAGCCATTATTTTATAGGAGAATAATATCATGAAACCAAATAAAGGAGGCACTAAAAACAGTAGTCGTAATTAGTTTTTATATCTTATTCCGCAGATAAGCTTTTACCTTTTTTACAGTAGATGGACAGATAAACTATTTTTTTTTATCAATGACCTTAATGATCTTAATCTCACTATGGTAGCTGGTAAGACGTCTTTAGTGTGTTAGGCATGAATATGAAAAATTGATGACGTCATTTTTGAAATGAGGAAACGAAAAATTAGTGGACAAAACACTAAAGACTCACATTTGAGCCTTAATAAATATATCGCAATATATTCAAAAATATTACAGTCCTTATTTGCAACGAAATGTAGTTGACATACAACTAAAATAGTTTGATTCGCCTATAGAGATCTTGAGAAACTATAGAGATATGTAACTCATAAACGCTCAAGGAAGTTTTATGTTTATTTTTTTCCCAAACTGAACCTTTTGAATAATAAATAACTTTGTAACATCTCCAGGAAATAAAGAACCTCGAGAATGGCCGTGGAATTTAAATTCAATTTAACTAATTCATCTTCTTTAAGCCTTTAACTGGAATTTCCTTTTATTTAATTTAGGAGTTCGTTTGTTTCTGAAGTTTTTAATCATTTCAGTGATTGTCAAATTGAATCAAGCACGAGGCGCTTGCAACTTCCGAGGTACAATTATGCGGTGTCAAACAAAAGTTGAGATGGTAATGATTTTATTAAAAAAAGTTGAAAAATTCTTCGCAATAAATTAGTTATTAACAATGTTCTTAAAATTAATCGTCGGCATCTTTATATGAAATTATATACAATTGTGTGCAGTCATTAAAAACCTTTGCCTTTTTACAAACGTCATGGTCCAAATTCATTCCATTGATGTTTTGAGCGCACGTTTCACCGACATCCGAGATCAAGACCCTGGGATCATAGCGGTGGAATGCTTGTACCCTTCTGTAGTAGTTCTTAATATTAATAATACCGTCATTGGACATGATGCCGAATTTTTTGAGCACACAATGTATAATGCAAGGTATGTCGTTCCTGTCTATACGTAACGGATATTTGTACAAATTTCGTGGGTACATCTCCATTAAACAGTCGTTGGTGACCACATCGCTTTTCTTATCACGTGCGTAGAGAATAGATAGAGAGGGCTCAGACTCCAGACCTTGCGAGAAGAATTTGCTTTTGTAACAGTCGATGCTTACAACTAAGTAGTACAGTGTCGTGATGATAACTAAGGCTGAAAATCACAACCAAATTAGAACCTATTGCTAGTATCATTATCTAAATTTGAAAGATAAAGGATTTTAGTAACTTTAAATTATCAGTATTGTAAGTGATCATTGATAAGCACATTATGAACAGAGCAAGTGTGAGGTGTTTCGTTGCATCTTGATGATACATTTGCCCAAGTCATACGTTACGCGAGTATAATAAGAGATCTTATTATGGTAGCCCTGACTGGCAATTAAAGTTTCCTACCGATATCATACATACGTACAAATTATTAAATTTCCACCTCAAATATGTATCGATAAGAAAATCAAGGTACTTCACCACAACCAGCATCGTGTACCAAAATGTCTGGACACTGCAGTTTTTATCAAACGTACACTCGTAAACTTTTGAGAGAGCTTTTGTCCATCATTAAAATGTACAATGTAAAACTTATTTACTCAATACACCGCCATTATTAAACCACATAAACATCTATGCTGTAATTATAAAGAGTCCAACATAAAACTTACATTGCATGGTTTCTTTAAGATTGGTTCGCGATTTTATTCAGAAAATTATTATACTGGCCATCGCTCCAAGCCCGTGTTGTAATCAACTGTATGTATTGTTGACTTTAAGCAATTCCAGGGCGATATTTGTTTCCACAATTCCACGTAAAATGTTTTATATGGTTTGGGGTTTTCGCCAAACAATTGGGTATTGTTCGTGTGCGAATTCTGATAAAACGGAAATGGCGCTCTTTAATAGAACAAAGTAATCAAATCTGAGCACCTGCTTAGATTACTTTGCTAGGTTTCGTAATGAAGCCATAATATTATTGCTCATTCGTACGTTTGCACTTTCGTTAGTTTTATCAGAGCAGTCGAGGTAGGTAACTGATGGTGGAGAATTATTAGATCTAGATTTTGTGGATTTTTAAGGTTATGCCTTAACTTAAGTAAGGTATGAGAATATGACATTACGGGTTAGAACATTCTATTATCATAATAATAACACTAAATCAGTGTCCGTGAATTTGTCAGATAGCCAAACTATGTCTAGCGACATCTTTGTTTGACGTAGGTTTAAAAATATAATATTATTATTTGCGCAACGCTCCACGTAAACTGCCAGCACATCTTCTAAAGAGGTAGCTTTTAGTTTTGTTTACTCACCCGATGTTTGTTCAGCTCTAAAATCGTTATATCGAATGGGTGTTTTAATACACTTTTCTAAAACTACACTAGCCAGTATAAAGTTAAACGAAATATTTCTATGGCAAGATCCTATTCAATTATGTAAATATATATGAGATTTCTACGGCCTGTAAGGTATCGAATCTTTTAAACATTATAGGTAACACTACAATTTCAGTTCTTATCTTAACATTTCATTTTCATCTTCTTTCAGACGATTTTAAATAGACCGCATGTTGTGTTTTTATTGGCGGCTTTGCCTAGCTAAAATAGCTGAATGGTAAAAAAAATCTTGTGTCAAAATGTGCCATTTAATACAGTTCTACATTGTTGTACGAAACATAAACGCGCTGGTTTGCGTAGGACTACATTGTGTAATGTTGCATTGTTTAGCAAACCTCCGAACTCTATGGTCCGCTCGTTTGTGTTTGGGAAAATAAAACGGTATGAATAGTGCATATATGTACATTTTCTTTTTGAAAAGTACTCTTTGAGTTACAAAATCGCAGAAAGTGGAAAGCGCTTTTAATGATTTCTTTATTTTTTATTTTTTGTCGATCCAAATTATCTTGTTATTTTTCCCTTTTTTTTAAGTTCTTTCTTTTGTGAAAAACACCAGTTCATATTTTTTTATTATTAACGTCGGTAAGATCGAAAAATATTGTGCATATTTTACTCAGTAATTTGTATCTAAATGTTATTTCCAAAATACATGATTTACAAAAAAAAAAAAAAAAAAACAAACCGAGGAAAGGGCAGTCCTCCAGCTGTTTAGCACATTAAAATAGTATGTAAAAATATTATAAGAGCAGTGATAGCTGTGTTTGACAGCTCGACTTTAATTAAATATACTCGAGTTTCAATCTTGGTGTTGGCACCAATGAAATTGTTAATTTTAAGTGCTGAATAATCACGTGCTCAGTGGTGAAGGAAAAAACCTTCATATTTTGAAAATAATAAAATATTCCGAAGATCTGAACTTCGCCAATCTGCATGGGTTCGCGTGTTGGATAATGCCACAGCAGTGGAACATATATAGCCCCAGACTACACCCTATTTGCTCAGGGGACTTGTAAAGGCTGTTACTTTTTTCTTTACTTTAAATATTTTATTTATTAATTATTTACATGTGCGTAATATAGCCGCATAATATTCAATATAGCCAAAGGACCGATATTTTAATATATGAGAATATAATATACATGTACTTTGGAAGTGACACTACGAGTATAATCTCATCAGAGGTCACCATCATTTTTCTTAATCATTTAATACATATTATATGTTTATGTAATAATAGTATAGAAGTGATAACTGATAATTTATGTGAATGTGTTTTTATTCCATTTAACAATCAAAGGACATAATTTTCAATATAAATGATGAAAAAAATGTTTTTTTTTAATGATGTACACATACGTACATATACATCATTCCAATGTTCCAGCTTCTAGTTTTTAATTAGATTATTTTGTTAGAGGTTAAATAAGTTACATAGATTTAATATTATTGTAAACTTTTTTGTGCTAATAGAGATTTTTGGTTATTTTTTGTTAAAAAATGTTTATGAATTTTGCCATGTTTCATCTTAACTTTAACCTATGTTTTGTTAACTTCATATTGCCTATAGACGCAGGACTGACTGTGAACAATTTATACAATTAAATTACTGCCATAAGTAATGTTCTTGTCGGAACATTGCAAGGGAATTATTTAAGTTTTCAATAAACATTTTAAAGTATCTCATGGAGACATGACCATGCCCTATTACTTCGATATGAGTTTGAAATTCAATTCACAAGGTATAACAGTGATAGACGTGGAACGTTACCTTCTGCTTTTATATTGGAAATAAACTTGTACATTTTTAGATTTACCAGAATATGAAAGGATATTGGCTTGTATACGTATTTGCGTTTTCAATTTAGATACCTTTAGCATAAATTTACAACTAGCTGTACGTGACTTATATTTCTCCTATATTTAATACTGGCTTTCCGCCCGCGGCTTCGCTTGCGTTGTAGCTCTTTAAAAACTATGTGTAATTTTCAAAGAAAGATATTTTCAACCCTTTACAACACTTGTTTCAATTAAAAAATACCTTATGTCCTTTCTCAGGCTCTAGACTATCTGTGTTCCAAATTTGATTTAAATCGGTTCAGAAGTTTTAGCGTGAAAGCAGAAACAGACAGACCGAGTTCTTTTCGCATTTATAATATTAGTATCGATAGTCCATTTTATACTAAAAACTTCCTTATATTGCAATCCGTTCAGCATTTAAGATAAGATCAGGGAAGACAGGATCATAAGTATATAGCAAACAACAAGAATGTAACACAAAGCATGTAATGTACTGGACCTTGTTTTTATTGTTGTTTGTGTGTCGTTTTGTACTTGAAGTGATAAACAGTTGTGATGATTAAAGAAATATAATTTTTCTAGTAACGCAGAACCCTTATTAGGGTTTAGATGGTTTCTTATAAGAGTAAAAATTAAAAATTTCATCATAAAAATAAAACGGGCTAAGTTGAAATTACGCACCCCCCCCCCCCCCCCCCACACACAATCTTTACATAAAATTTCCCCACTGAATACACGTATTTACCAATGCTTTTTAAAAGTATACTGAAATATAGCTTAGGTTAAAAATCTATACCAATATTTCTATATACACTTCTAGTATAGAAATTCTATTGAAAATCTTGTTGTAAAATATAATCGAGAAATAACTTGCTTATCACTGCAGGACTTTCAGTCTGGTAAACATTTCTATCAGAAATATCGTGTGTAAATAACAAAAGAAATATAGCGGCAAAAGTAAATTGCTCGTTATTCTTGTGCGCGGACCGTGGCACCATCCGGTCAGTGCAAACATACTTAATACTAATTATTTTTCTCTATATGTTTCCTGTCGTAATTTTTTGGAAAACTATATTAATAATCTATGAAAAAATAATTTACAGTTACACTGTTACCTGTTGTTGTGTTACTTATTACTAGCTCAGTTCATACTTGTAAAAAAAAATAATGTGATAAGTTTCAGAAAAGAAAAAAAGTAAAGCAATAGCCTTAACATGTCCAAGTAACAGCCTGTACAAAGGTCTCCTCTGTACAGAGGGTATCAGTGCATAGCACGCGGCCCCACTGCGGATTGGTGGACATATTTAAAAAAACTTTTTTTTTGTTATTATTTCGAAAATATGCAGGTTTCCTCACGATGTTTTCTTCACCGCTGAGCACGTGATAAGTCAGCACTTAAAATTAATAGGTACATTTGTGCCCGCACCGGGTTGCTCGAGATATTAAATTTTAGACATTTTACTTTACCGGTGGTAGGGCCCCGCAGCTGCCTCGGCTGATGCACGAATGGGCAGGCCCGTCCGGGTAAGTACCACGACCTCACAGAAGACCAGCGTAAAGTGGAAGTATGACAAATACTTCCGCGTTTCGTCTGGTGAGTGAGGTAGCCGGAGCCCAATTTTCAAAATGTTGTCAACGCATCTGTAACCCTCTGGTGATACCCATGGGCGGCAGTATTCACTTACCATCAAGTGAACCGTCTGCTCGTTTGGCAACTTTTCACATAAAAAAAAATTACAGGCGAGCGACCGGACACTGCGCTGTCACGGCTCACAGTTTCAAAGGGTCAACTTATAAATAATACTTTTTTTTATTCTCTTTACTTTTAAATAAATATTTACACAGGAAAAAAGTAATTTTAAACATTTTATTTGTACACGTAAATGATTATTATCACCTGCGTACACAAGCGTAATTTTTAGTTACATTTTATTACAATCTTCTTAAACGTAAACCGTTATGGTGTGTTTACAACATCTGATATGACTATGTTTGTAGAATTAAGTATTAGCAAGTGTATAATAATTATTCTAAATATCTTTATACAAAGTCGATTCCAAGACCAAGAACTCTTTAATTAAAATAATAACTATAGCAAAGGACGGGTTTTTTAAAAACACACCTATTTGAAATGAAAGGAGTGATTAAATTAAAATAATTAATGTAAATTATATATTGCTCAAATTAATAGATCGGTGATGAAACAAGATGAATAATGTTTAAAATTTGATTTTAATTTTATTCATTTATTAAGGCTTACCAACTAAATATACACAGAACATTGACGTCGTATATTTAACCTAATACTAAAGTTTTAACAATATATGTACATACTTAAATTACAGTTATACAGAACATTATAAAATAAACTTGAATCAGAGAACAGAAACTTAACTAAAAAATCTCTTATATCTCTGAGAAAAAAAAAAACTTAGAAAGTAAAGTTTAAAATTAGCCATAGATTATCTAGGATGGCTAATT